GTGACTCTATATTCCTTCCATCTTCTTTTGATGTTTTCTGCATCATTCAATAATTTGCACAAAGAAACTTTCAATAACAAAATTTGAGGCTTGTATTTTTTCTTCAGTTCCCCCAGCTTGAGAAATTTTGAGTGTGTTCTTCCTTTTTGGTTTTCTGATTCCAGATCTTTGCACACTTTGTTGTAATATTTGGCTGTATCTTCTTGAGCTGATCTTTGACATTTTCTGTTCAGCTCTTGGACCTCCTCATTTCTCCCATTTGTTTAGCATCTCTACACTGGAGAGCAAGTTTCAGTGTCTCTTCTGACATCCATTTTGACCTTTTCCTTCTTTCTTCTCTTCCTAATGACTTATTGCTTTCTTCATGTATGATATTCTTGATTTCATCTCACATCTCTTCTGGTCTTCAGTCTTTAGTGTTTAATGTATCAAATATGTTCTTCAGATGACCTCTAAATTCAGGTGGGATATATGAAACTGACTAGATGGCACTTAACAACAATAAGAAAGGGAAGAAGCTCCCATAAAGATTTACAGCCTTGAAAACCCTATGCGGGGCCACTATGAATCAGAACCAACTCCACAACACACAATTGCCACTACCACCAGAAGGGGAAGGAAAGAGCCCTGGTAGCACTGTAAGTTAAGCATTGGGCTTCCAACCACAAGATTGGTGGTTTAAACTGTAGGACAAACACTGGACCACTCCAAGAGACTGCCTTTTCCCATAAAGATTTACAGTCTTGAAAACCCTATATAGAATTGACTCAATGGTAGTAAGTGAATGAGAGTGAGTGGATGAGATGGGGAAGGAGTCATGATGCCCTAACGTTGCGTTTGCAATACCACCCTCCTTGTCAGGAGAAAGCTGGGTGACTTCTTTCCCTGAAATCAAGTAGAAGAAGCACCAAGAAATGGGTTAATAAACATAAGAATACATGAAAGCAAGGAAGATTGACATATCATTTCTCTATACATAAGCTTTTGATCATTGAAATTCAATTTCTTTAAAATTGGAAAATCTTGGCTAATACTAATGAGTACTACATAACCTAGTTAACCTTTTGTTTTGAATCTAGTGAAAAGGTAACTGAAAGGGATTAACAAACACTACATTGTGTTGTTGCATCCATGCCATACTCTCACACTTGCTCTCCACAGAGCAGTACCTTGTTATTCAAAACTAAATATTGAACAGGTATGCAATGATCCATAATTTTTAGTGTGGTAGTATAAGTGCCCAAATATGAGTAAAAGTAGCAAAAAGAAAGTAACATTTTAAAGATACAAGTATGATGAATCTTCTATTAAAGATAGTTTACAGAGAAGCATTTAAAAATTATGACCAAGGTGAAATGCCTTGGAATCAAAGAATAATTTTTCAAATTCTTCAAAAGACAAGAAAAAATAGCATAAAATATTGGAGGGGCTAACATGTTTCTAGTATACATGAAATTTGGGAATGTTTTGATGATAGTATTTAAATGAATGCATTATTATAGAAATGTATAATTAGAGTAAAAGACATTTAAATTCAGTTTCAGCAAACTGTTATTGGACAAATAAGTACCTAAGAAAGGAGCCCTGTGACCACTCTGAAAGGAATCATAATTGAAGGTCCTGGATAAAGTGGGAGGAAGAGGTGAAACAAAACTCAAAATCATAAAAAAGACCAAGTTTACTAGTCTGATAGGGATTGGTAGAGCCACTGAGACTATGACCCTTGAGGTTAGCAGCCAGCTCGTAACCACTACACTACCAGCTCTCCTTAGATATCCTCCAAGCTTGGAACGTAGTGACCTTTAACCTTGTGGCTCAACTTTCAGCTAAACAATGTTGTTGTTGTTACATGCCGTGGAGTCAGTTCCGACTTATAGCGACCCTGTATAGGGTTTCCAAGGAGCAGCTGGTGGGTTTGAATTGCCGACCTGTGGTTTGCAGTTCAGTGCTGATCCTACAGCGCCACAACAGGAATCCAGGTATTTGTTTGTTGTTGTTGTTGTTGTTAAGTGCCG